GAAAATAGTTGCGAAGCACTGAGTTGTGTTTTTTTGTTGTTTTTTTTTTCTTTTCTAAAGCTTGTTAAGTGGTAATGTGGTAATACTTTACGGGAATAAACTCTGGCTGACCCACTCAGAGGATATAAGCTTGAAAACATTAAGGGTTTTGATTTGCTCAAAAGAGGCGTTGACGCTTTTTGAAGCACAAATCCAATGGGAAAAGAGCTTTCCTGGTGCTCACTGTGTTGAAGTGCAGGGAGCATGTCTTTCAAGTCTAATGTCTATCTCAAAAGTCAAGGTTCTAGAACTGTATTTGTACAAGTGTGAAAGTTCAAAAGGAATGGAAAAAGCTGTGTGCAAGAATGAAGTAGACATTTCCTCTTTCTTTCTTGTTTGGAAACTTGAATCCCGATACTGCTCTCTTCCCTGAAGTAGTTGGCCCTCATGCCTGGTCTGGTTCCAGCGTTCCCATTCCCTGGCACTAAGTTGTGTCCTTGCCTCTGTGTTTACCTGGGCATAACTGATAAATAAATCCTGGTCTCCGGTGGGCATGTGAATTACAGACAGAAGAGAGAATGACTGGAGACAAACCCTAAGAGACTCTTCATCTCAAGAAGCAAACTGAGGGTTGCTGGAGGGGAGAGGGGTGGTTGGGTTTGGGTGGCTGGGTGATGGACATTGGGGAGGGTGTTTGCTATGGTGAGAAAAATAAATAATAAATAAAGGGATAATCAGAAAAAAAAAATGAAGACAAGCCAGATATGTATTAAAAAGCATGTAATTCTTGGGACACTGTGGCTCAGTTGGTTAAGTGTCTGACTTTTGGTTTTCCGCTCAGGTCATTGATGGCGGGGTCATGAGAATGAGCCCTGGGTTGGGCTTCACGCTCAGCGGGGAGTCTGCTTAGATACTCTTTCTCCGCCCCTTGCCCTGGCGCGCGGGCTCTCTCATAAACTTTAAAAAGCGTGTATTTCTCCCCTTTTTCAAATGCTTATGAAAATATATATACACATAAAGACAGGACTTTAATATTAAGGAACAATGGGTCCAGTTTCTTACAACTTGAGGTGACTTTTTTTTTTTTTAAGATTTTATTTATTTATTTGACAGAGAGAGAGAGATCCCAAGAAGGCAGAGAGGCAGGCAGGCGGTGGGGCAGCAGAGAACCCGATGCGGGGCTCAATCCCAGGACCCTGAGATCATGACCTGTGCTGAAGGCAGAGGCTTAACCCACTGAGGCGCCCCCAATTTGAGGTGACTTTAATTTACTGGTAACTCTCAGAAGTACCTAAAAATTTGTTTTTTTTTTAGATTTTATTTATTTATTTGACAGATGGAGATCAAAAGTAGGCAGAGCAGCAGGCAGAGAGAGAGGAGGAAGCAGGCTCTCTGCTGAGTAGAGAGCCCGATGCGGAGCTTGATCCCAGGACTCTGGGATCGTGACCTGAACTGAAGGCAGAGGCTTTAACCTGCTGAGCCACCCAGGCACCCAGCACCTAAATTTTTTTTAACAGTAGTATAAATTAAGTAAATGATTGGGGATGGGGGAAAAGCAAACAGACACTCTTTGTCACAGAAAAGCGAATTATCTATCTAAAAGGACACATGAGGGACGCCTGGGTGGCTCAGTGGGTTAAGCCGCTGCCTTCGGCTCAGGTCATGATCCCAGCATCCTGGGATCGAGTCCCACATCAGGCTCCTTGCTCAGCAGGGAGCCTGCTTCTCCCTCTGCCTCTGCCTGCCACTCTATCTGCTTGTGCTCACTCTCGCGCTCTCTCTCTCTCTCTCTCTGACAAATAAATAAATAAAATCTTTAAAAAAAATAAATAAAAGGACACATGAGATTTTGTAAATAGCATCTCTGAATGAGACATAGAATGGTGGAAATAATCTGAATATGGTTGGGGTGAAGACCCATGTTTGTTGTGCGGGTTGGTGGGTCATGGGCTTTGCATGCTCACTGGAGATGATCACCTGTGGGAGTTAAGCTTGGGTGGTCCCCTTGCATTGAGACCCAAGCTGTGAATATAGTAACATTGGCTCAAAACTCAGTTTTAATAATGGTCCCTGTCATCAGTTGTCTGCTACCAAAGTTAATTCATCAAATGCCTTCTGGAAGTAGAGACCGTTGCCCTGTGGCCATTGGGATTAGTAATCCATAATTACCACACCGTGTTGTATAAGGAGGGCTAGCAGGTGACCTCTGATTTTTAAGACTCATTTGATGTTATTTAATGTGCTTCATTATATGTGTGTAACATTTTTAAGATTTTATTTATTTATTTGACAAACAGAGATCACAAGTAGGCAGTGAGGCAGGCTGAGAGAGGAGGAAGCAGGCTCCCCGCTGAGCAGAGAGCCCAATGCGGAGTTTGATCCCAGGACCCTGGGATCGTGACCCGAGCTGAAGGCAGAGACTTTAACCCACTGAGCCACCCAGGCGCCTCAACATTTTTTTTAAGCAGGGATTTTTTAAAGATTTCATTTATTTGACAGAGTGAGAGAGGGAACACAAGCAGGGAGAGTGGGAGAGGGAGAAACAGGCTTCCCACTAAGCAGGGAGCCCGATGCAGGGCTCGATCCCAGGAACCCGGGATCATCACCTGAGCCGAAGGCAGATGTGTAATGACGGAGCCACCCAGGTTAGACACACACCCAGGTGTGTCTAACATTGAAAGGCAGAGGAAAGTTTGTGTCTGAATCCTGTAGTTCTTCCACATTTCCAGACAGTTGGGCTCTGGGTAAAGATATCTTGATTTTGACAATTCACAAAGAATGATGAGACCTGTTTAAAGAATTACAGAAATTCTCTAGGACTCTAAACTCCGTAAAACTTCAGATTTCTGGTTCCCAAACAAGGGGCACCATTTATTGCATTGAAAAATGGAGGCGTTCAAGCTGCTTTCCCATGATCCCCATTTAGTTTGCAGCATCATGGTGCAAACGCCAGCACTTCTTAGGTTAGATTCATTGTGTTTCCGTGGATCCCACAGTACTAAGTGTCCCTGCTTTCCTCCTCCCACTCTTCTTCACGTTATTAATCAAATCTGAGCCTGATGAGTTCACATAACTAGTGATTTTTTTTGTCCAGATACCTGACATTTTTGCTAATGGGCACTGCGGAGACCTCCTCCTCCCCTTGCTTTTGTCTTCGGGTTTCATTTAAGACTCCCATCTTCCGTATTTCGGGAAGAGAAGACTTTAAGTGGAAATGTAATCGGAGTGTTCTGTCTGATAAATGCACTCAGCATGGGCGTTCTGAAGCCAACTGTCCGTCTGTAGAGTCAGTATTAAAGTACCGTGGTGTTAGTTCAAGGAGCAGTTCATGCCGTCGAAGGCAGCTGGGAGCCTGGAACAGCCAGGTGGAATCAATTTAGCTCAGTTCAAGTCTTCCGGATTGACAGACAGTCTTGAACTTGCTGTCCCTTGAAGGCTCCGATCAAAGCAGTGGTTTGGCCAGGGCTCTCCATTAGCCTGGAAGCATCATTGAATCGTGCCAAGTAGAGTGCGTGGTTTTGAGATTTCTTTGAAGTAGGCAGGTCCGGGTCCTCTGGAAGACTCTTAATGGCATTTTATTATTATGCACAGCAGCAGGTCCTTCTGTGATCTCTACTGTTGTGCGAAAACCCTGGGGGTCCTTGATGGTGAGTGGTGCTGGCCTTTGGGCCATGGTGCCTCGCTTCTAGGCTGTGGGACCTGTGGCCAGCCAACCCCAGCTTCTGTGGTCACACACACTGAGGTCCAGTGTCCTCTTCTACCCAATGGAGATACTGCCGTCTGCCGAAGTTGGCTTTTTTTTTTTTTTTTTTTTTAAAGATTTTATTTATTTGACAGACAGAGATCACAAGTAGGCAGAGAGGCAGGCAGAGAGAGAGGAAGGGAAGCAGGCTCCGTGCTGAGCAGAGAGCCCAATGCAGGGCTTGATCCCAGGGCCCTGAGATCACGACCTGAGTCGAAGGCAGAGGCTTAACCCACTGAGCCACCCAAGCACCCCACCTAAGTTGGTTTTGATAAAACGAGATATGTATACAAGATAGAAAGCTTTGTTGGAATCCTGGGGTTCCTGATGGTTATTATACTATGTTTGCCATAGCCTCAAAACTTTTTACCTATGGACAGAAGGGCAAATCTGTGTATCTGCTATTAACGACAACTGAAAACCTCAATCGCACAGGTTATCCTCTGGGATAGAGGACAACTGACCACTTTAGTAATATTTTAAGGAAAAATCAGTGACTCACAAAAGCATGAGTGGCCCATCTCTTTGTTGTGTTGTCTCTGGGTACACTGGTCTTCGAACCGTGGGGTTCCTAATTCACTTCCCTTCCTGTGTTCCCTGGACCCTTTCTCATACGCCCATCTTGTGGGATCGGAGATTTAGTTTTATCTGTACTTCCTCTTCTCTTTGTGACTGGCTCTGTGTATTCCCCCATCATAACCGTTTCCCTGATTGCTTATTTACGTGTCCTTTTTCCTGAGAAGGACATATTGTCACTTAGGTATACTTTGATCAAATATGCATACCCTGCATCTATTCACAAGGAGACTTTGTTTTAAAGAAAAAAAAAACTTTTTTTCTGAAGTAGGTTCCACACCCAGCGTGGAGCCCATCCCTGGGCTTGAACTTAGGACCCTGAGATCAAGACCTGAGTGGAGATCAAGAAAAGTTAGTTGCTTAACCAAATGAGGCACCCAGGTGCCATGAAAAAAACAAAACCAATTTTTAAAAGTCTTAAAGTCTAGTTTTCTTAGTAGTCTCTAAGCTCAGAGGGGCTGGGGCTGCATCTGACTTACTCAGTGTTGTAGCTCGAATAGGCCTGTAGATGATGCCCGCTGTTTGGATGACTGAGTGGAAAAAGGAATGGTGTGCTCATTTACCCAGATACAAAGCCCTATCTCCTTAATAAAGCTCCTGGGATACCTTTTGTAAGGTAGCTGGATCATTCAAGCTCATGGGACACTTAAAATCTTCATTACCATTGACAGTAAGTTTACATGGTTTTGTTTTTTCCCCTTAGCTCCTGCAGAAGAATGGTCAGCTGTCTAGTGCCAATGGCTTAGCTGAGGAAGAAGAGTTCAGCCCCCAGGAGGGAGCCCTGAATGGCCAGGAGGAAGAAGCCATTGTCACAGATGGTAAGCAGCTTTTCAGTCTCTGGGTAGAAGTAGGGATTCTAGGGCTGACAACACCTGCTCTGAATCCAGTGAAACAATGAAAGCCAGGCTGGTTGGACCACCGGTGTCCTACTGGGGGCGGGGTGGGGGTGGGGCTGATGTTGACAATAGAGGCAATCCATTGGTTACAAAAGGAAGTATTTATCAGACCCTTTGTGTGGCCTCTGCACCCAGGTATACGAAGTTCTGCCACTATTTGGGTATAGGAAACGAAGTCCTGTTTCATCTTCCTTAGACATTTTTGCCTGGAACTTAGGCTGGTGGTTTTTTGTTCTGTTTTGTTTTAATTGTTGACTGGTCCCAACTAGTTGTCCGGTATTGACGTGAAATCTTGTTGGAAACCCCCAGAGTCGTGATTGCTTTAAGATTCAGTATCTCTCACTCTGGTGAGTAGCCTACTTCCTTTGCACAGATTTTTCTAGAAATGTGTATTTCAGGGTGCATGCCGCTCTTCGCCCAAACTATGATTTACTGCATGTGTTTTAGCTCTTGAGCCTAGAGGCCCCGTGGGGGTGGTTATTGGAAAGTGAATCACCACAATGTGATTCTAGTTGGACTAGTTAGACTAGTTGGAGTGAGCCCATTTGAGGTCGTAGGGGCCATACCTTCGGGTCAGGAGCAAGGACCTTGACCCAAAGGCCCAACCTCCCCAGGCTGGAGAAGAAACGTCCTCTGCCCTGAAGTTCTTGCCTCATCATTCCATTCAATCATAAACAAAGGAGAATTTAACGACCACTATCGAAGATGCATAAAATGATGATTTGGCAGGAAGTGAAGTGAGTCTTCTCAATGTGAACAAGACAAATGAGGGGGAAAGTCCCAGGAGAGGAGACTGGCCATTGCCTTGGTTAAATGAGACTCTCCTAACATGTGGAACCTGTTTCTCTTCTTGTTCACTGCCCCCATGGAGCTGCTTCCAGCCGAGAGCTGCTTTTGAAGTTGGTGGGAAGACTGATCTTTATATAACACCACAGGCACAATATAAAGTCAGAAATATATACAGTCTCACAAAAGGGAGGATTTGCATGACCTAGTGTGAAAGTTTCAAATCATCTCCACCAAAAGAATTGGAATCGTCCCAACTCACATTCCAAAGTCCCGTGCTCTGTCCTTCCCATGGTAACTTTTGAATCCAGTCGAGCCACAGCGGGTCTGGAGCCTTCTCTGGCCAAGCGTCTGTGCTCTGTGCTGCAGGGAAGAACAAATGGACAGACAGCCTACCGCTTACCCATTGCAAGGGGAGAGGAAGCGGGTCTATAGGATATACATGATGAAGGGAAGATTAACATGGTGGGTATCAAATGAATTTGCAAGAAATGAGAGCTGGTCCGAGTTCTGGGGGTGCCATCATTTGAGGTCAGAGCATAAGACCTGGGGACGGGGGGAGATAAGGGTTAGACTGGTTGATGGGTCTCAGGCCAAAGTGAGGTGACTAAGCATAGCAGCCACCACTTTGCAGGTTTTTACCATGGGTCCTAGAACTGTGCTTTTGTGCACGATGGTCTTTAATGAGGTGGGTGACACTGGTGTCAGGACTCAAACCCAAGGTCAGCAAATTACCAAACACAAGCTCTCAATCGCTGTGCCTTCACCATGCTGGGCACGTCCATAGACTTGTCTTGTGGCACAGCGTTCTCTGAGCAGCGTTCAGTGGAAACCCAGAGAGGCAAGTGTGTTGGGTAACAGGGCTGTGTAAGCAAGTATTTGCTAGCAATGTGGGATCACTGACATGAGTGAGGCAGGGTTCCTCTGTGACGCTGACATATGTGATCCAGAAGCGGGGGGCGGGGGGAGAAGAAGGGGGCAAGGTCAGGCCTTCGCAGAGGAACATTCCCTGGTCTCCCTGAGCTGACCCAGGCTTCTGCTCGTGACCTCAGGGTTCTGAACAAATGGCAAAGACCTCTTGTAAGAAAAGTGGTCATTAATAACACCTTGTCCTTTGAAAAATCCTGAAAAGGCCTTGTCACCTAGGAAAAGATGGGTGGGTGTCCTAGGCCTGCAGGGGCCATCAACCCAGAGCCCTGCCTTTCGGATGATGAGCTTTTACTGTTTTAGGCAGAACCGTTAATCCATTGGCTTATTAGTGTCTATAATAAGCTTGGTGCACTTGTTTTCTCTGCTGTCTTCATTTTGACTGCCTGGTATTGTAAACATTAGTACTTCTTCATGCCTTTTTTTTTTTTTTAAAGATTTATGTATGTTGGGGCGCCTGGGTGGCTCAGTGGGTTAAAGCCTCTGCCTTCGGCTCAGGTCATAGTCCCGGTGTCCTGGGATCGAGCCCCGCATCGGGCTCTCTGCTCGGCAGGGAACCTGCCTCCTCCTCTCTCTCTCTGCCTGCCTCTCTGTCTACTTGTGATCTCTATCTGTCAAATAAATAAATAAAATCTATTAAAAAAAAAAAAGATTTATGTATGTATTTGAGAGAGCGGGCGAACGGGGTAAGGGGTGGAGGGAGAGACTATCCAAGCTGACTCCTGCTGAGTGTGGAGCCTGATGGAGGGCTCCATCTCAGGACCCTGAGATCACGACCTGAGCCGAAACCAAGAGTCGGACGCCCAACCGACAGAGCCACCCCAGCACCCCTTTTCATGCTTTCCTTTTGACTACAGTGATCGCCAATGGCTAGATTTTATCGTTATTTCGAGAAATCCTTTTTACACAGAAGCTTACTGGGATGTCAGTGATGGCATAATTTAGTAGGTAACATGTTGGTTTCTCCTGCTGTCCACATCAGTACGAGTAGACTGACCCACCTCCTTCCCTAGGAAGATTGACCAGCAGTGGGATTGGGTCCTGCCCTAGGCGGATCAGTCCATGGGAGAAAACGATGAATGAGGGGCGTTCCCGCCAGCGGGTTTTTAATTTAAAGCAGCCGACTATATTTAGACAAAGCCAGACATGAAAATACTGTCTGACCTTGACTTGTTGGCTTTCTTGCTGAAGCCAGACATACTGGCAATTCAGAACCCATCCTCTTCCTATAAGGAAAATGGAATCCTGTTTCCTTATAAATGTTCCTCAAATGACAGAAGAAAGGAACTGCTTGCTACATAAATATCTTTGTGCATCAGGCTTAGGTACGTATAGAGGGGTTTTGGAGAGGACTTGAAGATTGTAGAATTCCACGGGCCATCTTATAGAAAGTACGCAGTCAGGGTTGAGAACCAATAATTATTGGGGAAACAAATGGGATGCCTGGGTGGCTCAGTCGGTTAAGTGTCTGCCTCCAGCTCAGGTCATTATCCCAGAGTACTGGGATCGAGTCCCGCATCAGGCTCCTTGCTCAGGGGGGAGCCTGCTTCTCCCTCTCCTACCTCTCCCCCTACTTGTACTGTCTCTCTTGCTCTCTCTGACAAATAAAATCTTAAAAAAAAAAAAAAAAAAAGAACAGAACAGAAAAAATTACATGACAAGAATTCATAATAAATTATTTTAGCCTTGGAGATTTTGTCCTCCTGAATTTTTTAAGGTGGTTTCCATTTATTAAAACTGCTTCTGGGGGCGCCTGGGTGGCTCAGTGGGTTTAAGCCTCTGCCTTCGGCTCAGGTCATGATCTCAGGGTCCTGGGATCGAGCCCCACATCGGGCTCTCTGTTCAGCAGGGAGCCTGCTCCCTCCTCTCTCTCTGCCTGCCTCTCTGCCTACTTGTGATCTCTGTCTGTCAAATAAATAAATAAAATCTTAAAAAAAAAAAAAAACTTTCTGGGGAGGGGGGAACAACAACAGCAACAAAAAACTCTTCTGTTGAACAGCAGAAAGAGCTAGAAAGTTCTTTCATGTTATGCTATTTCCAGCATTCACAGTGGTCACACAAGTGCCATTAGTTTTGTGGAAAATCTGCTTTTGTGGAAAAATTTTTAAAAAGCCCTCTCCGTCCCAAACTGTCATTTTATTATAGTCTGTGGCCTATGGATTTTCTAGGAGTTAAATGCGTCAACAGGAATGATTTTTAAAACATTACATGTGGGTCCAGGTCAAATTTTATATTTGAAACTTTTGCAAATTAAAACTTCCAGATGAAAAAAATAATAATAATTTTAGTATCTGTTGCACACATTATTTTTTTCCCGACCAGATGGGAAAATTCAATATTATAAAACCAAAAAATTGAAGACCTCCTTTATTTGGATAATACATGTATTTAAAAGATTTTATTTATTTGACAGAGAGAGAGAGTGCGGGTGCTTGGGCACAAGCAGGGGGAATGGATGGGGGAAGCAGGTTCCCCACTGAGCAGAGAGCCCACATGGGGCTCGATCCCAGACCCTGAGATTGTGACCTGAGCTGAAGGCAGATGCTTAACCCACTGAGCCAGCCAGCCACTCCTGGATAATACATATTCTTTTTATTAAAGTACCTGTTCAACTCATTGCCATGTGCAACTACACAAGTGATTGTCTCCAATCTTAATAATTTGAATTTATCATTTATAAGTGTGTTACTTGTTTCCTTTTTGAGATTTGCCTTTCTGCAGAGTAGACACAGCAAATGTTATAAAGTAGGTGATTTCTCTGTTTCCATAGGTCACGTTTGTGTGTGTGAATAAACGATAGTCATTGCCTTGGTTTTTAAATTTTTGTTCACACACACAGAAAAAATAATAACAAACTTTTGTTCACATGTGCTTTCTACTCTTTGCCTGCCCAGAGTGAGGACATGTACCCCAGCAGTAGTGGAGTGTTTGGGGTGCTCTGCCCTTGGTGTTTGCCACTCTGGAGCCAGCTGCGTTGAAAGTAGCAGCCAGCTAACCAGGGCGACAGGCTTTGTTACGCTGATCAGAATGGTGAGGAGCTGGGTGCCTGAGTGGCTCTGTCCCTTAAGAGTCCGACTTCTGATTTTGGCTCAGGTCATGTTCTCAGTGTCCTGAGATTGAGCCTTGCAAGGGACTCCCTGCTCAGCAGGAAGTCTGCTTGACATTCTCTCTCTCCCTCTCCCTTTGTCCCCTCTCCCACTCTCTCTTTC